TCTTGCCAGTCTAGACGCACCCTAAAACTCTGCTTCCTGGTCACTGTTTTCCATCCCCTTCCCCCCATAACTCATCCTTACTGTCATTGAAAAGTGTTAAGGCAGCGCCTCTTTACAGTCATGGTGCCTTCTCCCCCCTGGTCCTGCCTCCCTCCCCTTCACACTGCCTTTTTTGCGGAAGAGGATATGAAAATCATTTGCATATCTTCTTCCAGTTCTTTCTGTGATAGAGGTTTTGCCAATAAAAAGCTCTGTGTAGGCGTGGCCATTTGTAGGGGAAAAAAAACCCCTTTTCGCAAGAAACTATACACCTCGATTTTCAAGGACTAAGCCTTGTATAACACAAAGATGCCACCCAGAAAAAAAGAGCACATCACTGAACATGGACAAATGCCAAAGCCTAGAATGTGAATAATGAATATGCAAATATTCTATTAAAATGTTACCTGTCTGCCAAACCACTCACCCACTGACCCCATCTTGTCACTGCACATCCTTCTACTTCCAACCCCAGAACCTCTGACCCCATATCCAGCCATCCTTGGTACTCTGTGTCTCTGTATTAATAAACCTGCCAAGCCCATCATCTGATACCCTCTATATCCCACTAACCCCATTACCTCACAAGTCCGTCTTGCCAAGCCTGTCACATCATTGCCCACCGTCTCCCACTTCCCAACATTCCCTGCTGTCAACTTCCTTTTGTCACCCACCTCTGTCTTGCCTGGAGCCTGTCCTGCATCCACTGTCACTACAAACCTCGGCACACTGTGTCCCAGCGACCCCGACTTAAATTGACAACCTCCCATTTCCCCAGATTGTGCCCCACAACTCCCGGTTCTCCCTGATCCTGCCCCATTACCCTGGTGCCCCTTACTCCACAAACGCCATCACTGCCTGTTGTGCCAAACCCTGATCCTGCCTCTGCCTGTTCCACAAGCTCTGACACCACTTAAGATGCTCAGACGCCCTCAGATCTGCTGCCCCTTGAGACGGAAGCATTAGGTGTGCTGTGATTGATTCATAACCACTGACCCACTGTAACCCACCCCTCTTGCCCTTTGACCTCTAACCCCACCCTCCCTCAGCCCTAGCTCCCCTTAAGCGCTAGCCCTAACCCACCTCCTTGCTCCCCAGTGCCTAACACCCTTTGACCCCCACCTATGCCCCATGCACTTTGCCCCTTTAACCTCTGACCCCTACAGCCCATATCAACACACTTTTGCCCTGTGATCCTACCACACTCTCACTCAACACCCCCTTTGCACCCACCTCCGCACTACCCAGAATGAGGTTGTCCCCTATAGGGAGCATGGCTGTTACTTCCATGCAAGCAGGGGGAGCGGCTGTTGGCAGTGTGCACTCTCCCTCCTCCTTCATGCCCCCTCCCCCCCCCCGGGTAGAAGCGGTCTGGAGTGTGGATTCTCTACTGGGCCACCATCTTACCTGGGGGGAAGGGAGGGAAGTACCTCTTGCTCCACTTCTTCCTGCCACCGTTTCAGCTCCAGTCCTGCTGCCAGGCAAAATCACCTGCCACGGCTGCTGGAGTTGAAGCTGACCGCTGTTAGGCGGCTCAGGTGGCTGGGGTGAGCCCCATCCCCAGAATCACTGAGAACAGACAGATTAAGCTGACAGCAGCCCTGCTCTGGCAGCCAGCGGTTTGTGGCCTGGCACAGGCCCTCAGACTGGTGGTTAGGAACCGCTGCTTTACACACTAACTCAGTGGTTCTTAACCACTTTGGCACTGTTACCCCTTAAGCTTAGTCAAGAAACCAAAATTATACCCCCTCCTTTTAAAAATGGCAATTAACAAAAAGAAAATTAAGCTTAATCATTTTTATTGTATTTTGTGATTTTATACATGATGTTGAACTAAACTGAATATCTATTGTATTTTAAAACTATTATCCTCTGAAAGATGCCAAATTACCCCTTGAGGGGTAATTACCCCCAGATTAAGAACCACTGCACTAACTAATGAAATCTGAGAGGTTTCTTCTTGAGGGATTTGCTGGTGCAGGACGGGTTTGGATTCTCTGATGTCTAACAAGTTGTGAGGTGAACCTAAAGCTTTTCCCAGAGTCAAGGCATCTGTATGGTCTCTCTCCTGTATGGGTTCTCTCATGGACAGTAAGGGCTGATTGCTCAGTGAAACCTTTCCCTCACTCACAGCATTTATATGGTCCCTTCCCCCTGCATGCACTCTCTGATGTCTAATAAGATTTGAGGTTTGCCTGAAGCTTTTCCCACAGTCAAGGCATTTATATGGTCTCTCTCCTGTATGCAGTCTCTGATGGATAATAAGATGCGAACTTTGACTGAAGCTTTTTCCACAGTCGAAGCACTTATATGGTTTCTCTCCTGTATGGGTTCTCTCATGGAGAGTAAGCTCTGATCGCTGAGTAAAGCCTTTCCCACATTCATGGCATTTATATGGTCTCTCTCCCGTGTGGGTTCTCTCATGGACTGTAAGGGCTGATTGTATAATGAAATCTTTCCCACACTCACGGCATTTATATGGTCTCTCTCCTGTGTGCAGTCTTTGATGAATAATAAGGTGTGAGCGCCCAATGAAGCTTTCCCCACAGTCAAAGCACTTATATGGTTTCTCTCCCGTGTGGGTTCTCTCATGAATACTGAGGGCTGATCGCTGAGTGAAACATTTCCCACATTCATGGCATTTATACGGTCTCTCTCCCGTGTGAGTTCTCTCATGGAGAGTAAGGGTTGATTGTGTAATGAAACCTTTCCCACACTCATGGCATTTATATGGTCTCTCTCCCGTGTGAGTTCTCTCATGGACAGTAAGGGCCGATTGCCAAGTGAAACCTTTCCCACATTCGTGGCATTTATATGGCCTCTCTCCTGTGTGGGTTCTCTCATGTCTAATAAGGGCTGACTGCTGAATAAAACCTTTCCCACACTCATGGCATTTATATGGCCGCTCTCCTGTGTGGATTCTCTGATGTACAATAAGGTGTGACCGCTGACTGAAGTGTTTCCCACATTCCAAGCATCTATACGGCTTTTCTCCTGAGTGGATTCTCTGATGTATAATAAGGTGTGACCTCTGACTGAAACTCTTTTCACATTCCAAGCATCTATATGGCCTTTCTCCAGAGTGGGTTCTCTCATGTATAATAAGGTGCGATCTCAAAGTGAAGCTTTTCCCACACTCAAAGCACTTATGGGATTTCTCTTCCATGGGGACAATCTCATGTTCAATACAGGATGAAAGTTCAATCAAACTTTTTTCACACTCCAGACACTTGCAGAGTCTCGCTCCCGTGTGATCTCTCTGGGGCAGAATAAGGCCTGACTTCTCACTGAATCTTTTCCCACAGTCTGAGCATTCATAGGGTTTCTTTCCATTGTAATGTATCTGCTGGGCTGGAGTTTCCTTAGGATCCTTGGATCGTTCCCCACATTCAATGGATTCCTCTGCTTTCCTGCTTGGATTGTTCTCCAGTTGCCTCTCTGCCCCGTGTCGATTTCCCCAGGTTTCCCCCTGTTCTACACACTGGGAAAAATCCCCTTCGGCTCCTTCCAAAAATGTTCCCTGTGGTTCTACAGTTCCAGGACCTTCCTGTGGTCGATTCTCCTCATTGTTCTCCCTCACTATCTTATCACCTGCTGGGAGAGAGAGAAGCCAGGCAGAAGTCACTGTCTGTGCTGGGGACAAAGCACCAACAAGGGAATGGCAAAGACAGAAAGCACAACACAATAATAGTTTGGGAGACAGATATTGGATTCTGTATCAACATTCCCCCCCAACACTCCCAGGGAAGGAAATGTAGGGAGGAACCTCCTACTAGCTGACAGGATGGCAGGGAAGGAAACGTAGGGAGGAAACTCCTACTAGCTGACAGGATGGCTAGGGAGCTGTAGCAAGTATTTGCCAGGATGATACCTGCAGCTCTGCCTGGGAGACACAGGGCAGAACTGAGCACTCGCTGGAAGGGATCTGTGTCAGTTTCCCTGACTACTCACATGTACAGGTGCCTCTCAAGATCTCAGTTTCTTTGGAGGGCTGGAGATCTGGGACCCACGGCTCTTCCCCTTGTTCCAGCTGGGCAATCAGGTTAGGTTTGGGAATGGAGAATCCTGCACAGGGGTGAAATCAGGCAAGGTGAAGGCACATGGAGTCTGGGCAGAGTATGTGTCACAAGGAACATTCCCTGAGCACAATCTGATTCTACATGGGACTGTGGTAACACCGACATCTTGAGAGCAGCAGACTTCTCGGGTGGAAGGGGGTAAGGGATGTCACTAAATTGGGATTCTATTCATTCTGGTTACTTTGTTATGTGATTTCTATTGGCCTGCAGAAACCCCCTGTGTACTTTTGTTTCCCTGGGTGCCGCACCACTATCTAGATGGGGATGGGAATTCGGGAGTGACTCACTGAGGGAGGATGCCCAGGTCTGCACATTCACAATGGCCCAGGCTCATGGTAATCTGAGCCTGGAAGGGGTGTGTGACCAGGTGACATCTTTTGCCCGGGAAGGTAGATAAAGGCTTGAGACGGTGCTGGCTGCACCAGGGAGGAGCTGTGGAGGGTGAAAGTGAGTCTCGCAGGCTTGAGGGCAGAGATGGTGGGGCAGGGCCCTTGGCTATGGGCTCCCTTCTCCCCATGAAGGACTCCTGTTCTAAAAAGTCTGCTCTATGCTGTGTCCCTGTGTCACGGCATTTCAGGGGTCCCCGACCCTGCACCCCCATCCGCAGCCAGATGTGACTCGCAGCCAGCAGGTAGAACAGAAAGTTGTATTGGTTCACAGGGACACAGTGTAGCATAGGATCAATGTTAACAGGGCCCCCGAGAGCAGGCAGCATTATTCCTCAGGGTGGGATGGAAAGGGGCTTCTGGGCCTTCACGCCCCTTTTATTGCTCTAAGCCTCATCTCTCATCCTAGCTCAGCCGAGACTGACCCTTCTCCCAGGTCCTACCCCCCAGCCTGGAATCAGTCCTGCCTATCCTTCCCAGCCTCGGTTGTTACCTCCTGTGTCTGACCCTCAGATATCTGGGCCCAATACACATCTGGAATGAGTCATCCTCAGCCTCTCCCGCCTCATGCGGAGAGTGCTGCAAGGGGGTGGAGGGGAGAACTGAGGTACACGTATACACACAATACAGCGAAGAGTCAATGTTACAGCACCTCCACTACATCACATCCTGTGAACTAATAAGCCTTGTGTTCCACCTGCTGGCTGAGAGTCACGTCTGGCTGTGGATGGCGGTGCAGGGCCTGGTGACTCCCCACCCCTCGGTGACACAGGGTGTTGTCATGCCCTCATTAGGAGATTTAATGATCTGTGGGCTTTGGGGAGCTTGCTGCGTATTTCCAAGCCTGCAGAATCTAGAGCCCTCCCCATGGATGGAGCCAGTCCCAAGAAGGCAGGAGAATGGTGTGTGTAGGAGAAATAATATAGGCAGGACCGTATCCTGCTTTCGGCCCCGTGAAAGCAGGGGAGACAGCGATGAATTAGTATGTCTGTTAGGTGTCTGACTCCCCTGTTCCCCAGAAGGGGGGCATGGTGATGAAAGTGTCTCTCACACGGGGGCTGTGGGCCCCACTCCCCAACAGAGCAGATGCAGAAATGTCGGCCCCAGGGCTTTGATAGCTGAGGGCACAGGAATCCTTACCCAGCGAGGCCACAGTCTCGTAGTTCTCCTGCATGACGTCCCTGTAGAGGGCTCTCTGAGCGGGGTCCAGCAGCGCCCCCTGCCCCTGGGTGAAATACACAGCCACCTCCTCGAAGGTCACCCGCATCTGCAACAACAGGGACTCCCCACTCAGTGCCTGCCGCCCAGGTCACAATCCCATTACTCACAATGAAGTAATGCTCCCTGAGGAGCATAATCTGGCAGCCCACTCAGTGCCTGCCGCCCAGGTCACAATCCCACTACTCACAATGAAGGAGACCCTGAGGAGCATAATCTGGCACCTCTGGGCAGGGCAGAATGAGAAGGCTCCAGGGAAGAGAGAGGGGAGAGAGCTCCTTGTGCCTCCCAGCAAATGAAGCAGGGCAGGGTCTTCTCATTCACCCATCTGCCAGCCACAGGCTGAGGGGGGAGCAGAGCTCTCCATATGCAACAGGGACAGGAATCCCAGCACCTGCATATTTCATGGCAGCCTCTGGCTAGTGAGCTCTGTCTCCAGCGTGAGAAAACAACAATGGGACCGGCCAGACTGGGTCAGACCAAAGGTCCATCTAGCCCAGTGTCCTGTCTTCCAACAGTGGCCAATGCAGGTGCCCCAGAGGGCACCAAAACAGGGAATCACCAAGTGCTCCATCCCCATCACCCATTCCCAGCTTCTGGCAAACAGAGGCTCATGACACCCTCCTTGCTCATCCTGGCTAGTAGCCATTGATGGACCAATGGAGAGTCTGGTCAGTTTCCGCAGCCCTGTCCATGGGGTGTTTCCTCTTACAGAAATGGGAGAACATTCACCCTCCTTCCCAATGGGCCTGTTCAGACAATCAGGCCCCAGGCTGAGCAAGTCCCAGCAGATTTATTCCACCCTGCCCCACCTTGTGTACTTCCTGCCTCTTCCCCTCTACAATAACGCCCCTGAAGCTCCCCACAAAATCTCCTACCTGAGCTAGCTCCACCACAGCCATTTCCCTGCCCTGTCTCCTGTAGGATGGGACAATCTGGAGCAAAGTGTGGACGTGAGTCTTCAGCCCGTCAGGGTGAGAGGGACAACTGGGGAGGTTTCCAAAGGGGGCTCGGTCTATTTCACAGCTCAATTCCCCCAGGCTCCCTCCCTGCAGACAGATGCTCTAGGCTCCACCATGCTGGGAAAACCGTCAGTTTTACAACACTTCTGTAGCTAATGACTGGAAGATAGCTACTGTGATGTCAATATTTAAAAAGAGCTCTAGAGGTGATCCTGGCAATTACAGACCAGGAAGTCTAATGTCAATTCTGGGCAAACTATAGTAAAGAATAAAATTGTCAGACATGTAGATAAACATAATTTGTGGGGGAAAAGTCAGCATGGTTTCTGTAAAGGGAAATCATGCCTTACTAATCTACTAGGGTGCATCTACACTGCACCGTAACTCGAAATACGATGCACAATTCGAGCTACACAAATTGCGTCTTATTTCCAGGGCTTGACAAATCAGTGAATCTACTCGCCTATGGCGAGTAGATTTCAGCCGGTCACTCTGTTTATTGGCGGTGCACGCATGCGCAATGCGGGTCTTGCACATGCGCAGTGCGGGGCTGGTGAGTAGATTTCGCCACAGTTTGTCAAGCCCTGCTTATTTCAATGCTATTTCGAAACAGCTTATTTTAGTCATTTGGCGCGGTCTACAAAGCACCAAATCTCAAATAAAGGACTAGTCCAAAACGTCCCTTACTCCTCGCAGTATGAGGTTTACAGAGATGTCAGAATAGCAACCCCGAAATAATGAGCTTGCTGTGAAGACACAGGAGAGCTCTTTTGGGATATTACCAAAATAGCATTGCAGTGTAGACGTACCCCTCTACAGTTCTTTGAGGGGGGGCGTCAACAAACACGTGGACAAGGGGGATCCAGTGAATATAGTGTACTTAGATTTCCAGAAAGCCTTTGACAAGGTCCCTCACCAAAGGCTCTTAAGTAAAGTTAGTTATTATGGGATGAGAGGGAAGATCCTCTTCTGGATTGATAACTGGTTAAAAAGAAATAAAGAATAGGAATAAATGGTATTTTTTCAGAATGGAGAATGGTAATTAGTGGTGTCCCCCAAGGGTGGGTACTGGAACCAATCCTGTTTAACCTATTTATAAATGACCTGGAAAAAGGGGTAAACAACGTGGCAAAATTTGCAGATGATACCAAACTGCTCAAGATAGTTAAGACCAAAGCAGACTGTGAAAAGCTTAAAAAAGATCTCATCAAACTAAGTGATTGGGCAACAAAACGGCAAAGGAAATGTTGCCATTTAATGTTAATAAATGTTAAGTAATGCACATTGGAAAAAATAATCCCAACTACACATACAATATGATGGGGACTAATTTAGCTACAACTACTCGATTATCTTGAAGTCATTGTGGATAGCTCTCTGAAAACATCCACTCAATGTGCAGCAGCTGTCAAAAGTGCAAACAATGTTAGGAATAATTAAAAAAGGGATAGAAAATAAAATAGAGAAAATCTTATTGCTTCTGTATAAAACCATGGTATGCCCACATTGTGAATACTGCGTCCAGAAGTGGTTGTCTCATCTCAAAAAGATATACAGGCATTGGAAAAGGTTCACGAAAGGGCAAAAAAATGATTAGGGGTTTGGAATGGGTCCTCCATGAAGAGAGATTAAAAGGACTTGGACTTTTCAGCTTAGAAAAGAGGAGACTAAGGGGAATATGATAGAGGTCTATAAAAACATGACTGGTGTGGAAACAGTGAATAAGGAAAAATTATTTACTTATTCCTATAATATAAGAACTAGGGGTCACCAAATCAAATTAATAGGTAGCAGGTTTTCTTCACACAGCACACAGTCAACCTGTGGAACTCCTTGCCAGAGGATGATGTGAAGACCAGGAATTTAACAGGGTTCAAAAAGAGCTAGATAAGTTCATGGAGAATAGGGCCATCAATGGCTATTAGCCAGGATGGGTAGGAATGGTGTCCCTAGCCTCTGTTGGTCAGAGGCTGGAAATGGTTGACAGGAGAGGTATCACGTGATGTTTACCTGTTCTGTTCACTCCCTCGGGGCATCTGGCAGTGGCCACTGGGCTAGATGGACCTTTGGTCTGACCCAGTGTGGCCGTTCTTATATTCTTAACACAGACTTGGCCCCTCTCACCATTTGCCCAGCTGGACTTGCCAGAACTGAACCAGACCCAGAGAACCAGGGTTTTTACCCGAATTGGAACCATACTTAAGAAAGGGGGGGGGAGCTTTCTCAATCCATCTGATCTGGGACAATCTGCAGGACAATAATAGTTTTGCACTTTTACAAATGTTATTACTAGGGGGTTGTGCTCCCTGCTGGCTACGCTCACTAACCGAACTCCCCTTTCTCTGGGGATAGGTGTCTGGCCAGGGGGGAGAGGGCAGGAGCAGGCTGGGAGTATAGGGTCTTGGCAGAAAGGGTAAGGGGGCTGGGTGTGCGTGATTTTGGCTTGGGGGGGGAGGTATGTGAGCATAGTGAGAGTCGGGGTCTCAGAGCAGGGGGTAAGGGGGTGGAGTGGGCCTAGGCAAGGCAGTTACTGAGGGCTGGGGGTGCAGGGTCTTGGCTTGGGGAGGTAGGGGCCACTTACTTGCTTTTGTGCAGCTCCCAGCACCGTAACTCGGGCACCGCCTACCACTGCTTTTTCAAATCTAGCTAATTTTTGTTGCATTAATTGCGTGAGTTAGTTGATTAATTGAGAACCTTCATTTTCATGCCATTCAATACGTTGAGAGTTTGCCCTCACCTGCCGTGCTGGCTGTGTTCACTTTTGGTCACCCTACCTCCAAAAAGATGAAGCAGATGTGGAGACATTTGCAAGCCAGGCCAAGAAAATGTTTAGAGACCCAGAAGGGTTTTGTGTGAAGAGAGACTGAACAAACTGGGACTGCATCATGCTGCCAGCAGACAGCCCCTGGGGCATGCCAATGTTATACATTTCAATGAATAAGCGGGTACACATCGGGGCTCGGACAGGGGGATGGGGTTGGGCTTGGATGGCAGAAGGGACCAGGTGACAGCAGCTCCTCCCCAGCAGTGCAGCCCCCCTGGGGTGTGAAGCAGGAGCTGGAGTAGCCCATGCCTGTAGGGGACAGCGCCGCGGCTGGCCACAGCAAGCAGCTGGGGGTAGAAGCAGCATGTGGAAGCTGATGACATCATTCTGTCATCCATCAGGAAGAATTTTTATATATATATATATATATATATAATCTCTGAACACTGGATCATTTATCTGTATTATCATTGTGCAATACGCATCATGGCATTACTTGTTTTCATTTTAATACCAAATGCTCAAAACCATTTAAGTACACAGTAGAGATGGAAGGGACCTCAAGAGATCATGAAGTCCAGTCCCCTGCCCTCATGGCAGTTCAAGCTCTGTCTAACCTACTTTTAAATATCTCCAGCGAGGGAGACTCTACAACCTCTCTAGGCAATTTATTCCAGTGTTTAACCACCATGAGAAGGTACGAGGTTTTTTCTAACGTCCAATCTAAACCTCCCTTGTTGCAATTAAAGCCCACTGTTTCTTGTCCTGTCCTCAGAGAACAATTTTTCTCCTTCTTCCTTGTAACACTCTTTTAGATACTTGAAAACAGCTATCAGTCTTCTCTTTGTTAAACTAACCAAGCCCAATTCTTTCAGTCTTCCCTCACAGGTCATGTTTTCTACATCTTTAATCATTTTTGTTGCTCTTCTCTGGCCCTTCTGCACATCTTTCTTGAAATGTGGAGCCCAGAATTGGATACAATACTCCAACTGAGGCCTAAACGGAACAGAGTAGAGCGGAAGAATGACTTCTCCTGTCTTGCTCACAACACTCCTGTTAATGCATCCCACAATCATGTTTGCTTTTTTTGCAATAGCGTCACACTGTTGACTCATATTTAGCCTGTGGTCCACTATGACCCCTAGATCCCTTTCTGTAAGACTCCTTCCTAAACAGATGCTTCCCATTCTGCACGTGTGAAACTTATTGTTCCTTCCTAAGCTGAGTATTTTGCATTTGTCCTTATTAAACTTCATCCTATTTACCTCAGACCATTTCTCCATTTCGTCCAGATCATTTTGAATTATGACCTTATCCTCCAAACCACTTGCAACTTGGTATAATCTGCAAACTTTATAAGCATACTCTCTATGCCGTCATCTAAATAATTGATGAAGCTACTGAACAGAATCGGTCCCAAAACAGACCCCTGTGGAACCCCACTTGTTATACCCTTCCAGCATGACTGTGAACCATTAACAACTACTCTCTGAGAACGGTTATCCAGCCAGTTATGCGCCCTCCCCTTATAGTAGCCCCATTAGGTTGTATTGCCCGAGTTTACAGATAAGGTCACCTGAGACGGTATCAAATGCCTTACTAAAGTTTAGGTATGCACATCCACCTCTTCTCCCTTATCCACAAGACTTGTTATCTTATCAAAGAAAACTATCAGATTGGTCTGACATGATTTGTTTTTTACAAATCCATGTTTAACTTCACTTCTGAGTGTTATAGTATTGAATTTGTAAATTAACTCCAATTCAGCTGTCTCCTTCTGTAATCTGGTGAGAAAATACTTTTAAATCTATCATTGAAAGTCCAGGGAGTAACCCAGATAAATCCATTAGGAAATGTTTTAACCTCCCTGGTAGGGATGTAAGCGACTAATCGACTATCTGATAAGCAAAAGCTTATTGGATAGTCGACACACTGTTGACTAGTCACTTCCCCCCCCTTACTGCCTCTATCAGAAAAAGATAGGGCAGGGGGGGAGCGGGGAAGGGAGGGAGAGGACGGGGTGCTGGGGGAGCTGGCTTAAAAGCCGGTTCCCTCCAGCTCCATAGGAGGGGCGCAGTGGTAACGTTCCACTTTTGAGTTGTACAGGAGTCCTCACTGGGCAAGAATCCTCGTGCGGTATTCTTTGAAGTTTAGCAACAGTCCAGCCAGCTCTTGCTACATTTCAATGAGGAAGTGCCCTTATTGACTAATCAAATAGTCGATGGAAATTCTATCGACTATTCAATTCGCTGATTAATCGAATTTTAACATCCCTACTCCCTGGACATTCAATAATGGATTTAAAAGGAGCCATCCTTGTACAACCCCAAGTGGGACACGTTGGCAAACACCTTGGAAGCTTTATGCAGACAGAGAACCTGATCAGGGATTCTTTGAGACCCTAAAACCATGTCTGGCTAGGACAGTGTATGGAAGGGGCTGTATCTAAAATAATCCAGTGACTCTAGTCCCGTTTAGCAGGCAAATCCATTTTATTAAGCAGGGAAGATCTGCCTTGTCCAGTCCCTGGGGAACATGGTGCCATTCAGATTACA